GCGTTGATGATCAAGTCGTCGTCATACTTGTTGACTGTGCGCATCTGGCGTACGAACTCCCGGAACTTCTCAACTTTAGCCTCGTAATCTGCATAACGAGATGAGAATAAACGATGTAAGTGTGCATGCTTAAGTTCTTACAGCTCAATGAATGGGAAACCAAAAGCGAAATTGCTAAAGACCTTGCATATCAAGCACACAACGCACCGCTGGTTAGGCGCTGGCCCATCTTTGTCTTGACGCGCCGTGTCAATCCCCAACGCGTGCGGAACCGGAAGGTCCAACGGGATGACGCACGCCAGTCGACACCGGGATGGCACTTCCGCATGAGCTTCCTACTCCACTTCTGTAGACAACAGATCGACACCGCCAAGCCGCGCGCACGGTGTGAGAGGAAGCGGTTGTACATCTCCTTCTCCATGTCGGGGAACTTCGCCTTGCGTCTAGCACCGATGAGACGACGCCTGCATCCTGCCGCCGCCGACAGCCGTGACTTGTTCTTCTTCCACTCGCGTATCTGACAGGGTTGTACCTCGGCCATCTTCCCCATCTTGCGATTCGAAAGCTTCGGGTCGGAGTCGAGATGGGCCAACCAGTATAGCTTTTCCGCCGCTGTGCGCGAGACTCTCTTGCGCCTGGTCCTGCGATGTCTGGGGGAGGGAGGTGCAGCATTCCGGTTAACTCGCGGCATGTGGGGACGACAAATGGGCTGAGGGAAAGTTGGAACAATGACACGAGGACGTGTCGGGGGTGGCTCTGGCTCTCCATCGGCAGCATCTTCCCAGTGTAGCTCATCATCGTCTTGCCAGTCGTTGTCCCACTCCTCGGGACGACTTGCAATCGGAGATGATGTATAGGGAGGTGCGGGAGGAGCAGGTGGGGCAGGAGGTGCAGGAGGCGTGGGAGGCGCGGGCGGTGCTGGCGGCGCGGGTGGTGCTGGAGGAATCGACGGAAACGGACGGAGAAGAAATTGACTACCGTGGGGTGGACGATGGGTTCGCAAAACTGAGATGCCGCTAACAGCACGGGCCGCCATGACTGAATCTCTGCCTACAAAATTGCCTCGGCGGACTTATGCCCGAGGCTCTGTTAGAGAGGTTCGACATCGCGAGGGGTTTTCTGTTGGGAAGACAATACTGGAACGCTAAAATGACGCAGCGACAACAAACGGATGAACAAGAAACGTGGGCCGACCCCTTACCCGAGTCGCGCACGGTTCTTGACAGCCAAAAAAGACCATCGCATGCTAGCATGCGATGGTCTGGTCAAGAAGCTTCCAAAGGGCATCTTGAGATGCCTGATTCCATCGCAGGTGTTGCGCTGGCAGCATCTACTGCACCTAGCCGTGCACGCGCAGCGCTGGCAGCCGATGGCAGCAATCCGCTGGCTGTTGGCAGCTGCGACCGCTATGGATTGGCCACAAATCCTATAGCCCATGCCGAGTTCGACACGTTGGCATGGCCATCCTCTCATCCAAAAAGTGCAAAACTCCCTAACAGAAACCCAATGCATGTATAATCAGATTCAAAATGAAATATACATAACACATGGGCCTTATATTTTTCCAGGCCACTGTTAACACCCAGTCATTTTTTTTATGAATTATTATATCCACCATAGGGTGTTATTGTTAGAAGAAAAACTGAATAAGTGTTGAATCGAGAGAGAGAGAACAAGGGTATATACCTAAGAGTGTTGTACCCTCTAAGAGGTGACCCTATATAGTCTATACAAATATGAGTTATGCATATATTTGACACACCCCCTAGACTGCATAGGGGCAAATCCTAAACAAGCAGCTCAGGGCGGCACTACTAGTCCAGCCACTGAGACAAGGGTCTAAAGACCACTCAGAAGGAGTACAGGCAAGACAAAAGCAAAACCAGGGCGGCACTACTAGTCCAGCCACTGGGAGAGGACACAAGTCCAGTCTGAGTACATACATAGATATATATAGGACAGTACAAAGTCAAGGTCCTAGCAAGTGAGAGACTACAGGAACTAGACCGAGCTGTACACAGTGCCGCTGATGATCTTTAGGCGTAAGTGCCTTCATAAAGATATCAGCTGTGTTGGCACCAGAGGCCAAGTGAACTACGCGGGCCTGGCGACGCTGCTGTAGCTCGCGCAGGAGGAAGTACCGCAGCTGGATGTCCTTCGCTCTGCCCTCTAGTCGAGGCTCCTGACACAGGAGTATCATGGCCCTGTTGTCAGCGTACAGGACCGGGGCAGAGCTAGGCCGCTCACCTAAGTCAGTGAGCAAGAAGGTCAGCCAGCGGAGCTCCTGTGCCGCCATGGCACCAGCGTAGATCTCAGCCTCACAGCTCGACTGAGCAACAGACGACGAGCGAGTGGATCTCCAAGAGATAGCACCCGAACCAAGGCTAAAACAGTAGCCCTGCGACAACCTGAGCGTCTCAGAGTCGTCTGCCCAAGAAGCGTCTGTGTGCCCAGTGAGGACCACTGGCCTGCGTCCTCCTAACACTAACCCCATGCCTGATGTACTTGCTAGATATCGTAAAACCCTCTTAGCGGCCGACCAGTGCTGTGGTCGGTGTCTGCCAGTGGCCACAAAGCGAGCCAGGATGCTGAGAGGGTATGCGAGATCTGGGCGAGTGCAGGTCATCAGGTACATGAGGCAACCCACCAGCTCTGCGTAGGGGCCACTGGGCTCTACTGGCTCCTCAGGAACAGGAGCGGAAAGCCCGTGGTCTACAGGTAGAGGTGTGGGCTGTGGAGAGGAGAACTGAAGACCGAACCTCTGAAGGACCGGACGCACCAAGTGTGACTGGGTCAGAGTGATGGTGCGTGCTGCTCTATCCCTAGAGATCTGCAGGCCAAGATAGCGACGCAGCTCTCCAAGGTCAGTGCAGGTGTGTCTCTTCAGCAGCTCAGTCTTCACAGAGGCCAGTGCGTCCCTGTCAGGGGTAGCGAAGACCAGGTCGTCTACTTAGACAAGGATGTAGAACGGAGTCTGGCCAGAACGCACAAGCAGTGAAGGGTCAGCAGAGGACGGAAAGAACTGCAGGTCTGCTAGCGTGGCACGTAGCGTGTCATGCCACTCGCGGGGAGCCTGACGCAGGCCGTAAACCGGGCGCCTGAGAAGCCACTGGGTCCCAGGAGGGAAGGTACCACTGAAGCCCTGTGGTCGGCGCAGGTAGACCTGCTCGTGTAGGCTGCCCTGAAGAAAGGCAGTAGAGAAGTCGAGGGAGTGAAGCTCGTAGTCACGCTGTGCTGCTACGTGTAGCAGCGCCTGAAGAGTGGTCATCCTGGCGCTGACTTGTAAGGTGGCGGCGGAGATCGGAGAGCCAGGCGGCGAAGTCAATCGCATGGCCCTCGGCGTCCAGTCGGAGCACGAAGTCCGCCATCGTGCAGGGTCAGCGGCACAGCTCCACAGGAACACAGCGACACAGGAACACAGCAACAGCCCCCTCCAGCATGGCGGCCGCGAAGCGCCTCAGCACGGGCGAGCAGGGAGGGGAGGGGCCAGGCAGGTGCGGTGGGGGCCAGGCAGGTGCTGGCGGGGCTATGCAGGCGCGGCGGGTCCAGGCAGGGGCGGCGGGGCCTGGCAGGCGCGGCGGGGCCAGGCAGAGGCGGCGGGGCCAGGAGGCGCGGCGGGGCCAGGCAGGGGCGGCGGGGCCAGACAGGGGCGGCGGGGCCAGGAGGCGCGGCAGGGCCAGGCAGGCGCGACGGGGCCAGGCAGGGGCGGCGGGGCCAGGAGGCGCGGCTGGGCCAGGCAGGGGTGGCGGGGCCAGGCAGGGGCGGCGGGGCCAGGCGGCGCGGCAGGGCCAGGCAGGCGTGACGAGGCCAGGCAGGCGTGGCGGGGCCTAGCAGGAACGGCGGGGCCAGGCAGAGGCGGCGGGGCCAGGAGGCGCGGCGGGGCCAGGCAGGGGCGGCAGGGCCAGGCAGGGGCGGCAGGGCCAGGAGGCGCGGCAGGGCCAGGCAGGCGTGACGGGGCCAGGCAGGCGCGGTGGGGCCTAGCAGGCGCGGCGGGGCCAGGCAGGCGTGACGGGGCCAGGCAGGCGCGGCGGGGCCTAGCAGGCGCGGCGGGGCCAGGCAAAGGCGGCGGGGCCAGGAGGTGCGGCAGGGCCAGGCAGGCGCGACGGGGCCAGGCAGGGGCGGCGGGGCCAGGAAGGCGCGACGGGGCCAGGCAGGCACGGCGGGGGGCGAGGAGGCACGAGGGGCCCAGTAGGGGCACTGCGGGCTAGGAGGCGTGGCAGGGGCCCAGGAGGGGCACTACGGGCTAGGGGGCACGACCGGGGCCCAGGAGGGGCACGACGGGGCCTAGTAGGCGCGGAAGGGCCTAGGAGGCGCGACGGGGACCCAGGAGGGGCGCGACGGGGCCTAGGAGGCGCGGCAGGGCCTAGGAGGCGCGACGGGACCTAGGAGGCGCGACGGGGGGCCCAGGAGGGGCGCGACAGGCTAGGAGTCGCGATAGGGGCCCAGGAGGGGCGCGACGGGGCCTAGTAGGCGCGGAAGGGCCTAGGAGGCGCGACGGGGCCTAGGAGGCGCGACGGGGACCCAGTAGGGGCGCGACGGGGCCTAGGAGGCGCGGCAGGGCCTAGGAGGCGCGACGGGACCTAGGAGGCGCGACGGGGGGGCCCAGGAGGGGCGCGACAGGCTAGGAGTCGCGATAGGGGCCCAGGAGGGGCGCGGCGGGGCCTAGGAGGGGGCGGCGCGACGGGGCCTAGGTGACAGCGCGACGGGGCCTAGGAGGCACGGGCGGAAGCGGTAGGTGGGGGGTCGAACCTACGGGTGATACCATGTTAGAAGAAAAACTGAATAAGTGTTGAATAGAGAGAGAGAGAGAGAGAGAGAGAGAGAGAGAGAGAGAGAGAGAGAGAGAGAGAGAGAGAGAGAGAGAGAGAGAGAGAGAGAGAGAGAGAGAGAGAGAGAGAGAGAGAGAGAGAGAGAGAGAGAGAGAGAGAGAGAGAGAGAACAAGGGTATATACCTAAGAGTGTTGTACCCTCTAAGAGGTGACCCTATACAGTCTATACAATTATGAGTTATGCATATATTTGACAGTTATATACGGGGGATTACGGTATTTCAGCTCAGCATCTTTTGCCAATCTTTGATGAAAGGTTCACACTACGCCAACCAGCAATACTGGCTACATCAATCATCAAATCTGCAGTAGCTTCAGCTGCAGAATAATTGTAATAGTCCTGAAACAGTACAAGGTCCAGTAAATACAAAAACATGGGGTAAAAGGCATAAAAACTAACTTGGCACAAAACTTACTTGAGGGTTGAACACATGATCTGGATTGTACTCGTGAAGATGTGCTCCATCAATAAGCAAATCTCCAGCAGACCGAGTCCTTCCATAGCTACCAGGCCAGTCCAGCCGATCAAATATTCGAGCGCCTGAAAGTGACCTGCCTGCAAGGAAAATGTTGCTCTCCAGTGCAATCTGAGCAGGGAAAGAAGTCAGTCAAGGGAGAAAGTGAAACTGGCTTGGCACTGTGCGTCACTTGTGAAAAACTGTTCAGAACCTGTCACCTGAGCATGGCAGGTACTACCAACTCCATAGAGTCCCCAATGCTGGAAGACGTTATTGTATACGTGGACCAACCCTGCCACAACTCGAGGATGGCGCTGAACTGTCCCAGCAAACCAATTACTATGAATGCTGACGTGAAGATTCACAGGATAGTCCTTGTCCTCTTCAGCATCTGTCTGTTAAAGGGGCAGCACACAAGCTATCAAGATCCTGCTTTTTCTAGTGAGCAGAGTAGCACGGTAGGGACTCACCTGCGAGCCAACAAGCATAACTTTGTTATGGTGGTGAAACAGGCTTCGAGATATCGTCACATCTGTGGACCCACGTGTTACATCAATCGCACCATCTCCCCATCTTCCAATCGTCACATGGTTAATCCAAACTCGCTGTGCCCCGTATTTCAGTTGAATGCCATCCTCTCCTCCCCTCCATAATATGAGGTTGTTGATGATTATGTTCTTGGCACCATTCCTAGTCACAGAGATGGCTAAAGAAAAAGAATGCTTTCAAATAGACCAGAAACGTAAAGCGGAATCAATGGGAACCTGATATGAAGTCCATTGCAGGAGATAACGACCCGTTGACCACGGCCGTCAATTGTCTTATTGGACGCAATGCCGATGGGATTAGACAGGCAGATTGTACCAGAAACGTTGAACAGAATCCAGCGCGAGCCGTGAATCACTGCTCCCTCCCTTCCACATAACACGTTATCAATGTTAGTGGTTGCTGCTTTTTAGGAAAAACATGGCTAATAATCTCAACACTGACCTTAAGCTACCAGGTCCGGAATCCGAGAGAGTCGTGACCCAAAAGAGGGGTCCAGAATACCCACCAGTGACGTCGCCTCCGAACCCGTCTGCGCACAGCACGAGATCACGGACTGATCTTGACCATTCTCGTTCTGCCATTCCTTCACGCAACAACAGGACCTGGAACCTTGAGATTGTTAGCGAAAGGCTGACACGCAGTGGCTCCTAGAGCGACGAATGAAGAACTCACAAGAAGAACGCAGGAAACAAGCCAAATGTACGCATATCTACTGTCGTTGTGCCGAAGCATAACTAGCAGGACCTATTAGAGAAAGGCTCGCGATGGAGGTGCGACATGCCTCGCGACGACTGTACTCAAAAATTCACATTCATGTCACGCCGTCTGATACTGTAATAATGTGAACTGGCCCACTGGAAGAGGCTTGTCCTAGCTCGCCAACGGAAACATGTGTCAGAATCTTCACATGTAAGGTTCGCCACTGCAGTTTCCGAATACGGTCATAACTGCTGTCAAGCTCTAGCAGTATCTCAAGCAAACCTATATAAGCTTGCCTTCAACTAAAATATCAACGAGAAATTGGATGTGGGGAGCAAGTTTCTTTCTTGAAAGCTTTCTTGATAATTCGTGACATGGAATGGATACTAGATGGACTGTAGCATAATTACTACCGTATGTTACATTTCTTTATGCCAAGTCAAGGAACGGAGATGAGGTGGAGCGAGAGAGAATGTGTTGGGAAAAACGTGCTGATGCAAATTTCCGGGACAGCGTCTGGCCTGCATGGCTGAGAGTGTGTGTCTTAGAGTTCCAATTAGTGAAACAAGTTTTGGAATTGGCGAAACTTTTGGCCCATGTTGAATCCGCGATGTCGCTTCAATACCGTAATCCCCTGGATATAGGCGCATAGCGGCTTATAGGAAATACCTAGCAAAAGTGGCAGGCGCTTGTAATCGAATAAAAAATATAAGCCAGGGCATTCTTAGAACTGAATCATGACTAGAAAGAGAGAATACAAGGATATATAACGTAGAGTGTTGTACCTTCTATGGCACAAACCAATATTGTCTATACTAACATACTTAGATATGTTTGACGCACCCCCTAGACGATACAGGGACAGTGCCTAACAAAACAACAAGAAGCTCAGGGCGGCACAACTAGTCCAGCCTCTGAGGCAAGGGTCTAAAAACCAGTCAAAGGAGTACAGACACAACAAGAACAAGATCAGGGAGGCACTACTAGTCCAATCACTGGTAGGGGCCACAAGGCCATTCAGGGCAACACATAGATATAAAGGTCTATAAACAATCAAGGCCTTAGCATGTGAGAGGCAACATGAACAAGACCTAGCTGTACACAGTGCCGCTGATGATCTTTAGGCGCAAGCGCCTTCGTAAAGATATCAGCTGTGTTGGCACCGGAGGCCAAGTGTACTACACGGGCCTGGCGACGCTGCTGTAGCTCACGCAGGAGGAAGTACCGCAGCTGAATGTGCTTCGCTCTGCCCTCTAGTCGAGGCTCCTGACACAGGAGGATCATGGCCCTGTTTTCAGCGTACTGGACTAGGGCAGAACTAGGCCGCTCACCTAAGTCGGTGAGCAAGAAGGTTAGCCAATGGAGCTCCTGTGCCACCATGGCACCGGCGTAGATCTCGGCCTCACAGCTGGACTGGGCAACAGACGAGGAGCGAGTAGCTCGCCACGAGACAGCACCTGAACCAAGGCTTAAGCAATAGCCCTACGAGGACCTAAGGGTCTCGCCGTCGTCTGCCCACGAAGCGTCTGTGTGCCCCGCAAGAACCACTGGCGTGCGCCCTCCTGGCACTAACCCCATGCCTGATGTACTTGCAAGATACCGCAAAACCATCTTAGCAGCAAACCAGTGCTGAGGTCGGTGTCTGCCTGTAGCCACAAAGCGAGCCAAGATGTTGAGAGGGTATGCGAGATCAGGGCGAGTGCAAGTCATCCCGCACATGAGGCAACCCACCAGCTTTGCGTAAGGACCACTGGGCTCTACTGACTCGTCAGGAACTGGAGCAGAGAGCATGTGGTCTATAGGCAGAAGGGTGGGCTGTGCAGAGGAGAAATGAAGGTCGAACCTCTGAAGGACCTGTCACACCAAGTGTGACTGAGTGAGGGTGATGGTGCGTGCTGCTCTGTCCCTAGAGATCTGCAAGCCAAGGTAACGGCGCAGCTCTCCTAGGTCAGTGCAGGTGTGTCTCTTCAGCAGCTCTGCGTTCACGGAGGCCAGCGCGTCCCTGTCGGCAGTGGCGAAGACCAGGTCATCTACTTAAACAAGGATATAGAACGGAGTCTGGCCAGCACAAACAAAGAGCGAGGGGTCTGCAGAGGACGGAAAGAACTACAGGTCAGCAAGCGTAGCACGCAACGTGTCGTGCCACTCACGAGGAGCCTGCCGTAGGCCGTAGACGGGGCGCTGCAGGAGCCACTGAGTCCCAGGAGGTTAAGGTACTAGTGAAACCCTGAGGGCGGCGCAGGTATACCTGCTCATGTAGACTGCCCTGAAGAAACGCACTGGAGCAGTCGAGGGAGTGAAGCTCGTAGTCACGCTGAGCTGCTACGTGCAGTAGCACCTGAAGAGCATTCATCTTCGGGGTCGGAGCGAACGTCTGAAAGAAGTCCACCCCCTCACACTGACTGAAGCCTCTAGCCACGTAGCGCGCCATGCACACAGACGGCTCTCAAGGAGGGTGCTTCACCTTGAAGAGCCAGCGGCCATCGACTACGTTCACCCCAGGTGAGGGAATTGCGTCGCCGTAGGTGCCGGTGGATCTCCAAGATGCCATCTCCTGCTCCATGGCAGCTATCCACTGAGAGGCCCAAGGTCCCGAGACCGCCTCAGCGTAAGTGCGAGGAGTCGAGATGTCAAAAGCGTCTGGGCCACCCTCAGCGACTAGCAGCATGGAATAGAGGAGGGGAGCAGCCTCAGACAGGAAAGCAAGCTCGTACTGGCGGTCCTCCAGGACGTCACTGCCGAGGGCAGGAGCACCCCCGACAGACGGAGGACAGGCAAGGTCAGAGACCAGAGCGGTGGCGTAGTCAAGGCGGCGGGTAGAGGCAAAGTCAGCGACCGCAGCGGCAAGAGCGTTAAGACACGAGACCGGAACAGACGGGTCGGTAAGGAAAGAGGTAAGGACCCGAGGAACAAGAGGACGAGCGGCGCAAAGGTAGTCAGACAGAGGGGGAGGTGCAACAACAAGAGAGGAGGGTAGGACGAGATGCGTGGGAACGAAGCAACATAGGGTGAGAGCACGTGACAAGGGAGACGGGGCGAGCACGGGAGGGACGGCGAGACCAGACGTGAGACGGAGGAGTCGGGTCAGGAGACAGAGGAGGGAACACAGGAAGGGAACGAGGGGGAAGATGAACCGGAGTCGAGTCTAGGGGAGGGAACACAGGGCCATAGACAGGGAGAGGAGGAGACTCAGGGTCAGAGGACGAAAGGCCGAGCAGGCAAAGGGCGGACACCGGCGGCGATTGCTGCTGCGGCGGCACGGCACCAACACCGGGACCGCTTGCTGCTCCACAGCTACCTTCAGACCACTCCACTCCAGCACCCCTAGAAGGAATACCCCCAGAGCCCGAAACCCCTCGAGCCCCGGTACCAATCCCAGGCCCGCCGGGATAAGACACGACAGGAACTCCAGGACTAGTACCCACCCAAAAGCCAGCACCCCCAGAGTCAACGAACTACTGCTGCGACGGCTGCGACGACAGCTGCGCCCGCGGCGGCGGCGGCTACAACAACGGTTGTGGCGGCGGCGGGTGCAACGACGGCTGCGGTGGCGGCGGCGGCGGTGAGCGCCTGAGACAGCGGTGGCGACGGCGGCTGCGGAGGCGGCGGAGGAGGAGGCACCTGGGGACGGGCAGGCAGCGAGGACTGCGCCACATGACCACCAGAGTCAGCAGACTCCCCGACCGGGACCACCGACGTGAGGGGGGTGACGTGGGACACACCAGACGGTGCAGGATGGGGAGGGGGAGGGGGGGGGACAGGGGCGACCGGGGAAGGGGTGACCAGGAACAGGGGGGGAGTAACCGGGGGACCTCTGTGGGGGAAGCGGCGGTTGAAGGAGACAGACTCGTCAAAGGTGACGTCACGGGAGTGAAAGAACCTGTGAGACGGCGAGTGGTAGAAGTGCCAGTCGGGCGCCTCAAGGGGGAAACCGAGGAAGACACAAGAGAGGGTGCGGGCAGTGAGCTTGTCCGTGCCAGAGGCACGAACGTGAGCAAGGCAGCCCCAGACGTGGAACACAGACGCGTTACCAGGAGACCCGGACCAAAGAAGGGTTGGCGAAACCCGCGGCTGCAGGGAGTGCGGCCACATGTTAAGCTGGTGAGTGGCGTAGCGAACGGCGAACGGTCACAGAAAATGGGGTGCACCGGCATGGATCATGGAGGTGCGAGCCACCTCCATGACCAAACTGATGCGTCGCTCAGCGACCCCTTTCTGCTGCGGGGAGTCCGGCAAGGTGAACGTCTGGGTGATGCCTTCCGCACGACAGAAACGACCAAGGACACTAGAGGCAAACTCGCCACCACGGTCGGAGTGGAAACGCAAGACAGGGAGACCGCGGTGGACACGCGCAGAGACAAGCGACGGGTTGAGAACGTCAAGCACGTCGGCCTTCCGCTCCAGGGAGAACACGGTGGTGTAGCGCGTGTGGTCGTCGACAAGCACTTGAAAGTAGCGCTCTCGACGCGGCCCATGGACGGTGGCGGCGCCTTAGACGTCCATGTGCATAGTCTATAGCGGTGCGGTGGTAGGGGGAAACGAAGAGGAGTGAGGGGCATGGCGGAGGCGGCCCTCGATACAGGGCGTGCACAGTGGTGCGGGGGAGGAGGGTAACTCGGGGAACGACCCTGGGAGACGTAGGAGAAGACCGTACTGGGACATGTGACGTAGACGCGGGTGTGCAGGGTGACCTAGACGGTGGTGCCACAGGTGTGTCGGGTGAGTGAGCGACCGACAGGAGCAGGCAGCAGAGGTCACGAGGGGCGGGTGGGAAGAGGAATAGCTCGTCTCAAAATGGCGGCTGGGGCATCTAGAGCACATTGACCCTAAGTGGGAGTTGTGCTGCTCTTCAGGTGGGAAGGTATTTCAAACAAGAATGATCTGGTGGGTGGTGACGAATGAGCATTGAGATCATGAAAAGACATGGTTTTTAGCACGGTAGGGATCAAAACTTTGAGTATTCAATACATGTTAAACAGAGAACTCACAGAGAAAGTTATGACACGGTTACAGAGGCTCTTGCTGGCCAGCGCACAGCACAGTAGAGCACACGCTGAGCCGTAACTGTTCGCATTGTTTCGGTGCTGAACCATAGCTGGGAAGTCAGGGTCCACAAACGCCGCGGGCAGATTCCTTCTCGCTGGGCGCTGCCAGGACGCAGTGAAAACATGTGGCATTCTCCTTCTTTCGCGGATCGCAGGATCGTCCGATTGGGAGGTACCAGGTGGCAGCAACAGATGGCGGAAGATCTGGTGCCACAGAGGAGCTGGCAGTATATCAATCGGATCCTGGTGGGCATTGGTTGAAGGATGAGAGGGATAAGAAGGGGCGGATTGGGGTAGGATTGGCGGGAACGAAGGGACAGAATGACGGACAGAACAGTCCAGTCGAACCTGCAAGGCCTTAGAACGGGTCTCCAAGAGTGATGAATGGCGGACCAGGAACATCGAATGACGATGGGAAGGGAATGAAGGGGAATCAAACAAAAAGGGGAAAGAGGAAGAGAATCCAGGTCTCCAAGGTATGAAGTGAGCGTACCTCTGATTTTTGTGCTTCCTTTCGCTTTGAAATCAGGTCATTGATCCGGTCCCTGGCCCCGTCAAGCAACCACGCCAGGGTGCCGCTATTCGTGGCTCAGCTTGGGTCCTGCCTCATGAGCATCTGCTGGAGCCTTTGAAACTTGGTCGCAATCGTCTGGTCGAATTCTAGGGTGCATGAAGCTGCTTCTTCCTTTTTCTCTGAGGTGGCTAATTTCAGGGCTTGCGTAGTAGAATGCTAATAAGAGATGCTCTCTGCTCTTAAATATCCTAGTGAGCTAGGCTGTTCCCGAAAGTACTAGGAAGTCACACTGACATACAACAACGGGAATTCCAGTCAGAAGGAGAATTCTTCACTAAGTGTAAGCATTGTTAGACTAGCAATGCTGCCGAAGCAGGGTGTCGCGCTCTAAGCGACGATCAAGCCGTTGAATGACACAGTTATGACAACTGAACTGAATGCTAAAACGAAGGCTTGAAGCAAGCAATGGCCATTCAGTATTCTCGTGCGAAACACTTGGCTGGTCGGGCTGAATGTGAGTGAGTGTGAGGGCGTGTGCAGACAGCTTGGCGTGTGCCAACGTGCCTGGCTGGCGAATTGGTAACAGAAAAGAATTGCATCGCTGGCGACCTGCAGTGCAGTTCACGACATTACACGAAAGCTGGTAACTCACGATTCGTGCAGCCCTTTCGTTTTGATCCCTGAAATCAACCCCCACAATCCCTTGACAGTGCAACGCAGCCTCGCATCGCAAGGTTGAATCAATGTCCAGCACCAACCAGAGCCGGTCATGGGAGATCCATTCTGACATGATGCCATATTTCCCGACAAATGGTTAGTCCAAGAGCAGCTCGCTCGCACTATCGCCTTCCTCACAGCCTTCACCTGCGGATCAGCGCCTGCAACGACTCTCGAACTCATTCTTCGCCTAGTCGCTGCTTGCTGGGAGCCTTGATACTGTGTACTGCGTCGGCCCTAGTCTGCATTGGCGGCGTATTCCTGTCCAGATCCGTAGCACCAGGGAATACTAGGTCAGATTACAGTCTTCCAGGAGGGTTTGGGAGAGCGAGTCCTCCGCGATTCGCGTGGAGTCTCCGCGATGGCGATGTGCTCCCTGGCGTGTCGCACGAACGACTGGCGACATGGCGAGCCTCCGTTGCACGATCACGGCTGAAAACCCCAGCTGAAACTGCTGCAGGTATTAATATATATATATATATAAAAACTCTTCTTCAGCTGAAGCTGCTTCGTGTTGTAACTTTAGCACGCGGAATGCTGTTTCAGATCCTTTGAAGAGCGCGACAAGCGGCGGCGAGTTATGCGGGTGGCCGGTTCGTAGGCCTCCCGCTCGGGAGACGGCGGAGGGGTTTCAGGGGGATTCGGTTTGGTACAGCGCTAATGGCAGCGAGTGGATGCAGCACGCGCATCTGGAGATCCTCCTCCGGGGAATGGCGGAAAACAGAAGGGGACAGGCGCGGGGGGAGGGGGACGTGCAGGAGGTGAGGGGCGGGATACGAAAGGGTTTTTTTAAGAATGATGAGAGGATGGTGTTTGGCGGGAAGATGCGGTTTGTTGAGCTTCTTCAGTTCTACTGCTATCAGGCTCGATCTGCTTCTTCAGTTCAGACTCAAATTTCGCATGTCAATCGCGCTATTGGCACCTTCCAACCCCACCTTCGTTCCGCTCCCTCTCCCCCCTTACCCAGGCTGTGTGCTTGGCAGTGCATCTCCCACCTCATTGGTTCCCCTGCTCCGCCTCGCCGTCCGGCTGCCAGCTGGCAGTGTGGGTCCGACCCCTCTCGTCTGACGTGGCGCTGCTCTACCACCTCCTCGACACGCGCTCCTTCCGCTTCCTCCGCGCCTCTCTCCTCCCTCTCTTCCACCCATCCGCCATTCTCGATGCCGGCGCCAACATCGGCCTCGCCTCCCTCGTCTTCGCCATGCGGTGAGGCGCTCTGTTTTTGGCACATACCATAACATGGCACACAGGGCCAACATCAGCCTCGCCTCTCTCGTCTTTGCCATGCGTTGAAAGGGAGCAAGCGTGTCACATGCACACATCACTGTATCGTATGTCACATCGGCCTCGCCTCCCTCGTCTTCGCCATGTGGTGTTTTCCACTATCCGTACTTGAACACTTGTCAGTTACTGCTGTGTGGTATGTGTCAGCATGCGTCGCTTGCTTGCTTGCTGCTCACCTTCGCCGTTAAACAATCTACTCCACTCACTTTCGTCCTTTTCTATTCCCATTGCTTCACCTCCCCCCACTCCCCAAAATGAAGCAGCTTCCCCGATGCACTGATAGTGGCATTGGAGCCTGCGCGGGACAATTTCGAGCTGCTGCAGCGCAATGTGAAGCACCTTCCCCAGATACTGCCAGTCAACGCCGCCCTCTGGTCAGAAGACACCCAGATTGCGGTCACTGCTGGCCGCAGGGAGGGCTTTTGGGCCTATGAGACACACGTGTGTGGGGAGATGCAGCAACAACAGGGGGGCGGGAAGATGCTAGGGCAGGAGTTAGAGCAGCAGCAGCAGCAGCAATCCAGCAGCAATATGAATTCCCTGTCACCACCGTCATCTGCTGCTGTCAACCATTCTCCCTCTCCTCCTCCCCCCTGCATGCCGGCTGTGGCGGTGCCCTCCCTGCTGCAGCGGCTGCAGCTGCCTCGCTTTGACTACGCCAAGATTGACATCGAAGGGGCCGAGGGAGAGGTGTTCTCCCCTGATGCACTGGCGAGGGGAGGGGGGAGCAGTGGGGGGGTGGGAAGGGGAGGCAGAGAAGGTACGGGAGGAGGGGCAGCAGGGTGGCATGAGGATGTGCTGGTGCTGTCCCTGGAGCAGCATGAGGACTTGGCGCCGGGAATAGGCGGCAGGATGGAGCAGGTGTTTCCACGCATGCAGTTTGATGTGCGCACGTACGGCGAGAGCACCGTGTATTTCAGCCCCAAGGTGTGGGTGCATGAGCTTAAACCGCTGGATCTGAGTGTGCCTTAGGGCTCAGTGAATGTTCTCATTCTCAATTCCCGCTTCGTTGGGAGCACATGCAGAAGCTACTTGTGTTAGAGTAGCACAAGGCTAGGAGGAAGTGAAAAGAGGCCGCCATGAAGGTGGCGGCAGGGTTTAGCTAGGAGAGTAGGAAAAGTATTGAGAAAGAAGAGAGTGGATTAGGAAGAGAAAGGAGTAAGGAGGGGTTTGTACCCTCTACAGAAAGGTTCAGTAACAATCTACCAAGCCTATATTAAATTATAACTTATATAATTTTGACACACCCTCTAGGCCTGGTAGTCACACACCCACCCAACACACCACACACCCTCTAACCTAGCACCCCCATTCCAGCCACAGTGACAGCGACACTAGGTCGGTCGACCCCACGGCGGCGACGTCGACCGCAGGGGCTGCGGCGGCGACGGCAGCAGCGGCGGCAGTGTCGACAACGGCGGCGGCGGCGGCGTGCGGCTGCGTGGCCCCGACGCAAGCGGCGACAGCGGCGGCGGCGGCGGCACCCGCACCTCTCGGTGACGTGGCCAGGCCCCGCGACGGTGGGACGGCCGGCGGGAGTCAGCCGTCGGCTGCGGCAAGATACAGGACACAGGGGAAGGGGGGCGGGGCGTTGTCCAGCCTCACGCTTGAGGCTGGCGTGCGGGCAGCAGGTGTGGCGGCGCCATGAACGTCGCGCGGCAAGCTGCCGTCCGACGACGCTGCCACGGCACCATTACGATGCTGACACATCGCGGCGTCGATGCAGCGGTGGGACGTCGCCGCTGCGACGGTATGCACGGCGCCGTCACAGCAGCGTGGCATCGACGCCACGCGTCACGACGCGACGGCACGGCAGGAAGGGGCATGGCCGCCACGGCGGCACGGCAGGAAGTCGGAAGGCAGTGAACGAGAACGCAGCGGAAGCACGGAGGGGAGCAGGCACAGGAAGGGCGTCCCGCTCTGATACCATGTTAGAGTAGCACTAGGCTAGGAGGAAGTGAAAAGAGGCCGCCATGAAGGTGGCGGCAGGGTTTAGCTAGGAGAGTAGGAAAAGTATCGAGAAAGAAGAGAGTGGATTAGGAAGAGAGAGGAGTACAAGGAGGGGTTTGTACCCTCTACAGAAAGGTCCAGTAACAATCCTATATTAAATTATATAAGTTATAACTTATATAATTTTAACAATTTGATCTCATAATGTAGTAGGGCGTATTCAAGTATGGGCAAAACCTCACACTGAACATGCGATACAGCTGAAGAAGGATGCTCTCGGGCCTTTTTAGTGCTTGAAAGACGGGCGAAGGGCACGGAACAGTTGGCTGGGGGCTAGTGTAACATGTTTCTGCTCAGCTAAAAAGCAAGCATCTTTTGGTAAGGCACCAAGCAAGGCAATACATTGTCGAGTGACCCGCTGGGGTTACCCTTGAGAAGATCCTCGGGGAAGGGCCACAGGTGCAGAGCCTGGGGGGCTATGGGCGCACTGACCCGCTATTAACAAGCCCTTTTAACTCAGTGGTGTTGGAAATACCTCGAAGACTTTAGCGTTTCTGAAGTGTAACACTACACTCGAAGGAAAGTTGTGTCGAGTACGCGAGTCAACGGAGGTTACACGAGGAGGTTGGACGAAAGAACGCGAAAGGACGAAGGTGTTGTGGTAAATGAAGTTTTGCATTCCTGCAAGTTCCGTTTTTGGTGTAGTTAGCAGTATCGAGTTTCTCGGTACGGAAACAGGTCCGAGTGCTGATGTCATCAAAGCATCGCGGGTCTAGTGGATGGCGTCATCATACCGCTTCAGTTACGCGAATAGGCGTAACGAGTCGTTTCAGTCACGCGAACAGTCGCGACTCTATAGTATGACGAATAGGTCGCATAGCGCGCAGCTAGCCGAACAGGTACTTTCCCTAAAGCTATAAATCCTTGTAATGCCTTTCTATTATTAACCTTGAGATTTCAACTTTGAGACTTTGAACCTTGACTTTCCACAGAATTATGTGCTCAGGTTATTCAACCTTCGACTACCCACAAGTTAATGTGCTCAAGTTCACTCCTATAAGACTTCCGCTGTTTTACTAGTCTACCATTCCAGCAAAGATCCTTGGTTAAGTACTCGTGTTTGTAGATTCAATACTTAGTCTCCTACAGCACTTGTCAAATTATTACATGGTATGAGAGCTATCTGGAACTAAGACTACTGTCAACAATGACTGGTTCATCACCATCACCGTCTGCCGGAACAACTTCCGGAACTACTGCAGTACATGTCTCCACGACCGCCACTGGTCTCAGTGCCTCTGGACCTTTTCCACCGGCTTATGCGCATATCGGTATGCAGCAGCAGCAGCAGCAGCAGCATCAGCAGCATCAGAATCCGTCTTTTGTCAGTACTCCAGGGATGTCATCAACTGCCCCTGCAGCACAACCACCGTTTTCAACTCAGTCTATATCTTCTGCGTTCAGTGGAATAAGCCTTGACGGCTCGAGTTATATGCCTGGAGCCACAGCTTCAAGTACTGGTTCGTTTGCTTTCTCACCTTTTGCGCACCAGTCGCAGTCCCAGCAGCATCCCTTCTACATCTTCGGTCGTTCCCCTGCTCAGCAACAGCAACAACAACAACAACAGCAATTTTAGCAACAACAACAACAGCAACAACAACAGCAGCAACAGCAACATCCTCAACAACCGGGTATTATTTTTCAACCACCAAATTTGCTTAACAGTACACAAATCAAGACAACCATACCTTTTAACGGAGTGGATTTTTACTCCTGGATTTTCGAGTTTGAACTTCTGGCGCAGTCCGCCGGGCTATGGCCGTTCTTCACCGGCGAGTTCACGTATCCTGTTACGGGAACACAACTGGAGCAGCAGAGTTTCTTGCAGGCCTCTCTCGGGGCATATACGGTTCTTGTACGGAACCTGTCGCCGAAGGAGCAGCTCGGCATTCGATCGTTTCATTCAAGTTTTACACCTGCTGAAACTGCATGGAACCACTTGAAGGGGGTATACATGGCAAAAGATACAATAACGGTGAGTAAGATTCTTTCGCAGTTGACAAGTGCGCAGATGATGACAAATGAAAACGTCATGGACTATGTCAACCGCGTTCGTACACTACGCAATCAACTGGAGAAAAGTGGGGGATACTTCCCTCGTGAGATGTATCTCACGGTCCTTCTTGCTGGCCTTGGACCCGAATGGCAACAGACGCGCGCCTTCCTGCGCATGAACCAAAACCTCTCCGAAGCTGAAATTTCGTCGTATCTTCAAGCGGAACAGCAAGATCTTGACCTGCAGTCACAACGCAACAAACAGGGAGATATACAACTCAGTTTCTATTCAACACCAATACGACGTCCTCAATATTTTTGTCACAATTGCAACAAGGGAGGACATTCTTCCAACCGATGCTACTTTAAGAAGAAATATTTACCTCCTGAAGAACCGCGGCAGTTGAAATCATCACAGCAGCTACGTCAGCCTTCGAAGCAGTCTTTTCAGCAACATGCGCCTCCAAAAGCAACATCTGCAATATCAACACCACCAACGACACTAAGTTCTGCCCCTCCAAGCAACTCATCAAAGCCGACAGCCACTAATTCAAACTCTGCCACTAATACGGTAACTTCAAATTTTCGTTTACCTACTTCATCCACTCACATGGTCAATTGCAATTCAGATACCGATACTTGGTTCACATGGTCTCGTCAACAAATCCTTTCATCTACAACCGTCGTCGACTTTTTCAACCCTGCCCAATCACACTCGCCAACGGTCAAACAATTGCAGCAGAAAATATCGGCAGTCTATTTTTGACATCAATCGACACAGGAAATACTTTACGCCTTACCAATGTTTTACTCGTCGACAATCTTGGCTTCAATTTAGTGTCGACAAACCAACTCTTGAAGAAGAAAATCCGCACGGTCGGAAACTGCACGACACAAGAGCAGGAGTTAATACATGATGTGGACAACACGTACATCGGAAGAGCAGCAACAAAAAATGGCATATTCGTTTTACACTTCAAGGCAGCGAAATCTTCTGAAGATGCTGCTCCTCTTCAAGCTCCGTCAATCATCGCAGCAGTAGCTTTGGTAACCACTCCACAATGGACTTCAACAGCATCGAAGAAGAAAATCTGAGTAGCAGCACCATCGACATCCTTGCCGACGCACCTGCCATTGATATGAAGGAAACTATTATTCAAGATGACGAGGAAACTCTACAACTCGCTCCTAAAAAAATCTTCGACACTACAACTACTCTCAACAAGCCTTCAGAAACATCTTCACCTACCACTCTACCGGAGAAAGGTTATGCCCTCTCAAGGTTTTTACTTCCTTCATATTTCACCATCTTGATTCTTGCTTGGCTGGCCATAGCAGCAAGCGAGCTCAGTACCCCTCTGCAGACGTTCCTATACTACAGAGAAGCTGATTACCACACTACGACCTCCAACATTTACGAGCAAGGCATGGGCGTCACTCGTCATCAAACCCTTCATCATCACGTTCAAGAATGCAACAAAGCAGAACGGTTGAACAGTATCCTCCACGAGCTACGTGAGCAGCTGCGTGCAATGCTGACTCAACAAATTTCTCTGCCCGAAACTGCACCATCAGATCTGCCCGTCACTTCATGGTTCTTTGTCAAGCCTCCAAATGATGTCGAGGCTCCTCTCCACCAGGTGCAACACTCTCGTGGTTTTGCATTCGTCCCCTTAGGACTTGCCACGTTCATTGGCGCAACCTCAACCACTTTCAACCCGACTCATTTTTCAAAAACTACTTGGCAGAAAGAGGCATCAGACGCCTGGTGTCCCTGCCCTACACTCACCAGCAGCAGGGGGTCGCACAGAGGATGAACCGAACCTTGCAGACGACGATGCGGAAGCTGCTCCTGGGGATGAGACTGCCCAACACGCTTTGGCCTGACGCGATGACGCATGCTGTCCACCTGCACAATTTGCTGTCCTCATCATCATTTCCCAATAGCGCATCACCGCACCTGCTGTGGACAGGAAAACAGGGCAGCACAAAATTACTTCGAGTCTTCGGCTGCATGGTACACTACAGACCCCACACAGCCCGAGCAGGTCGATTCTCTCAACAAGCACGATGGGGACTACACCTCGGCATCGCAAAACATTTCCAAGCATGGAAGCTTCTCGACATTGAGGACAAAACCACCGTGGCCTCACGTGATGTGATCTTCTACGAGCGACTGACGCTGCAACATTGCCTGGA